GGGCGGGCGTACTCGTCCACATTCGCCAGCTGGTCGTGGCGCTCCTTGGACGTCTCCGCACACCACGGGACCGCGATGGTCTCCCCGCCCGGGCCCCCCCTCCAGCGGTGGGGGCACGAGGAAGTCGGCCCATTCGGAGGCCGAGGGGCAGCACGACGGGTTGGCACGGTGGTTCCTGTTCTTGATGCCGATCCCCGTGCCAGCAGGAGCTCTCGACAGCCTAGGGGCTGCAGCCACGTCCCTCTCCCTCCAGGCCGTCGCGAGCACCCGCTCCGTGCAAGACTGCTTGGCCTCCTTCATCTTGCGGTCCCCTACGGTCTGCTCCTTCGTCTTGCGGCGGTGCGAGGCCAGCGCCTTCGAGTGCGCCTGGATGGCCGTGGTGAACTCAGCTCCGAGGAGTTCGCGACGTTCTGGGCCCGAGCATCCACTTGCAGCTGGCGCCGCGCCTTGAGGAGCTGCCACTTCCGCTCGTCCATGGCCACGAACACACGGTTGACGTCGCTAACCTGTGAGAAGTGCTTGAGGCCGACGTCGCGTATCATCATCAGCAGCAGCGCGGTGGCCGGTGGTGACCTCCCTGCTCTCCCGGATGTCGTAGCTCGGGCGGTGCGTGATAAGCAAGTCCTGGAGCTCTGCCAAGAACGCCTCACGTCCCTCACCCGTCAAAGTAGTTTTGCTCAATTTCTCGCAGTCCCATCGTTCTCTTTTCGCTACCATGCATATTGGCGGGACCATGTTCATCTTAAGCACGAGCGGGATGTGGTCAAGAATCGCAGACATGGAGCGGCCCGCCTGTGCTGACCGTCGCCACGTAGCCGTCCCACTCACCAAGGCCCCGGCGCTCGAAGGTATACACACATAGTCGATTTGGCTGCTACCATTGTTGCCCTCGAAGGTGTGGCCGCAGAGAAAGGAGGTGTTGATTGCCGCCATGCCGACCGCCGACAGCCAGTCATACATGAGAGCGCTCGTGTTCGGCTCCGTGACATCCGCACCATCGTCACCAACCACATCAGTGTCGACGCGCTGCCGACGGCCTGCATTCAGATCATGCAAATGATCGGCGTGTACCGCTAGGGGATCTTCGCGTAAGCCTCGCGGGCCCACGCCAGCCAGCAGGGAGCGGCGCGTGTCAGGATAGGTCCGACCCGCGTCCTTATTGCTCGGGCGCGGCGGGAAATACAGGACCACAGTCGCCAACACGACAGGGCCCGACTGCAGGTAGACCAGGCCGCCACGCCCACGAAGCCCCTCCTCTTCCTCCTCTTCCTCGTTTTCTACTTTCCTCTCTTCCTCCCTCCAGCCTCCTCGTCCACCCGCCATCCCTCTTCCGAAAAGGCATGCCCCCCCGTGCCGCACGACCTGACGCGTTCGTAAGGCCAGGCCGGGCCTTTCGCTCGGCATCTCCTACGAACCGTCACCTTGAAGCTGAGAAACCCAAGCGGTTACAAAGATGGAGGACCCGCCGCTTTCAAAGCGCGGCCCTTGCTTTAGCGCCGTGCGCATTCGCTTCAACAGTTCAACTACAGCAATGAAAGTTGGCGCGTTGCAAAAGCGTTGTTTTTGCTTCAGCGCCGCGCACGCTCGTGGTAAACATTCCGACTGCCACAAAGATGGAGGACAGCCCGTTGTCAAAATGCAGCTCTCATTGTGGCGCCGCGCAGACCTGTTTCAACCATCTCCAACAGGTGCACGCGTGTCTGGGGGTGATCATAAGAATGCGGGGCGTCAGCGTCGTGCGCATTCGTGATCCGTCACCAACACACGGATGGATGGGGGGTCAAAATGTTTTGTTCGCCAAGCGCCGCGCGTTCGTTTTCGCAGCTTCCAGCCATCACACTGACGGAGGTCTGTGCAGTTGAACGTGCCCCACTTCTTGTGACCCGAGTTAATTATGGAATCGCGCAGCAGCTACACGAAGGGACGTCGGTTCCTTTTCCACATCCGAACGACAAAGGAAACGTGGTTCGTCTTCGCCGACATTGGCGCGTATGTTGCTTGCGTAAGGTCGCGCGCAGGCACCATCGTTTCCAATGTGGCGTGCCGCGCTGGCGTCCTGCGTAAGCCGCGTGCCATCTCGCGTAAGACCCGTTTCTTCATCGCCCATGTGCGCTTCGCTCGAACCCCCCTCAAGTCTGCGACCCAAGTTTTCAGATCACACGGATGGGCGGCAGATCCGTGTCAAACCGGGGCTGACGCCGGACATCATTTTGGGCGTGATCATCCTATCTGCTTGCGCTTCGTTTGGCTAGAAGGAAGGGCGGGATGGATATTGTACAGGGAGGGGGCCTCGCCTCAATGGCAAACCCCCTTCCTGGCGTTGGTCATACAAGGGGGGGGGGCTTCCTCGCTCTGGAATTCATAGTTGTACTGCCTGTGCGGATTTTCCCGGAAAGGGCAAAGGCCCAGAGTTCTCTTTTAGTATGTAAACATGTCCCCGGTGCCCAACTTGAAGGAGGCCGGCGAAATTTTTCCCTGATAAGTATCGAGGTCGAAGGAGGCCGGCGAAATTATTTTTGAGGATGTCTCGAGCGAAACGCTTGTTTTTCAGAATTTGTTGAGGATGTCTCGAGCGAGACGCTGGTTTTGCAGAGTTGGGGATGTCTCGAGCGAAACGCTTGGTTTCAGAATTTTTGAGGATGTCTCGAGCGACACGCTGGTTTTGCAGAGCCGACCGCGACGCGGAAAAGCGGCCCCGCGCGCAGGAATTTCGATGATGTCTCGACTAATTCGTTTGTTTTGTACGATTTCCTGGAATTTTGGCAGGATGTCTCGAGCGAAATGCACGACCCCACCCTAGCACGACCATACCCCAGCACGACCACACCCCAGCACGACCAGACCCCAGCACGACCCCACCCCAGCACGACCCCACCCCAGCACGACCATACCCCAGCACGACCACACCCCAGCACGACCCGCCCCAGCACGACCCTACCCCAGCAGACACACCCCAGCACGACCACACCCCAGCACGACCTCACCACAGCACGACCACGCCCCAGCACCACGCCCCACCACGCCCCAGCCGACCACGCCCCAGCACGACCACCCCCAGCACGACCACCCCCCCAGCACGACCACCACCCCAGCACGACCACCCCCCAGCACGACCACACCCCTCACGACCACTCCCCAGCACGACCACACCCCAGCACGACCACACCCCAGCACGACCACACCCAGTCGCACCCCCGTGGAATGTTTCGTGGCGTGTCTGGTTGAGTGGTTGCCTGTTCGTGGGGTGTCTCGTGGAATGTTTCACGGGGTGTCTCGTGGAATGTTTCGTGAGGTGTCTCGTGTAATGTTTCGTGGGTGTCTCGTGGATGTTTCGCGGTGTCTCGTGGGATGTTTCGTGAGATGTCGCCCAGTTGGGTATCGTGAAAACGTGACCATGCTGCACATGTCTTTATCCCTTTCCGGGTTCGTGGGTCCATCATGTTTGAAAAATGGACACGGGACGGGAGGGTGAATTGCAGCATCGTCGATTCGTTCTGGGTTTACGTTCGTGTTCTTTCTCTTCCTCATCCATCCGCCATCCTCGCCCCCCCTCTTCCTCCTGCTGACTATTCCCCCCCTATTCCTCCTCCTCTTGAGTATCCTCCACTTCCTTCTCGTCCATTCAACTTCCCTTAATAGTAACTCCTTTGTGTCGCACGCCACGGCGCGTCGGTAGGGCCAGGCGTTTCGCTTGAGACTTACACTTGACATGTGCAATCGCTTCAAGGATGGAGGGCAGGCCGATTACAGAATGTGGCTCTCGCCTGAGCGCTACGCGCTTCCAAATATTCGCAGCAGCTTTCAGGATGGAGGGTGGCTACTTCTCAAAATGTGGTTATTGCTTTAGCGCCGCGCGCATTCGTTGCAGGATTCGTAGGGTTGAAGTCACAGGAATGGTGTCATGTCGCACTTAAGGGTTGTGAGGACGCAACAGTCATGTTGATTCGCGGAGTTGAGTCCCCAAGAATGGTGTTTCGGAATAAAGTATCGCAGGGCCCTGTGAAGAGGGAGCTTGGAGGGAGGGTTGGTAGCTATCTCGTTGATACGTCTTAGGTTCCTACTTGTCCTCCTCCTCCTCCTCCTGCGCCTCCCCCTCCTCTCCTCTCCTTCCTCTTCCCCCTCCTTTCCCTCATTCTTCTCCCTGCTCCTCCGTAGCCAGTTTGGCTTAAGCCAGTCCGCGGCCCTTCCCTTTCCTGTGCTCCTCGGCCACCTGTGCTCTCGCGCCGCATGGCCCTCTGGCCTCCACTCTCTCGCGGGACGTGTTATGTGCTGCTTGTGCGCAGGTGACCTGGAGGTGATCTTTCCTTTTTGGCCACGTGGTTCTCAACTGCGCGCTCGGTGCCTTGAGAATCCATGGGCGCGCAGCTCGCGTCTCGACCTGATCCTGCACCGAGTGCCAGGAGGCCTGCCCCGCGGTGGCGCGGCTGCGGGGCTGCCAGATCGGCGCGGCCCGCGGGCCCCACCGGCCCGATGAGGTGGCCCTGCGGCTGGCGGACCTCGGGCGTGGGCTTCTGCTGCAGCGTGGCTTGGAGATTGTTTATGGTGCCCCACACGCCCGTGCTGTGCAGATTGCTGTGAGGTGGGCTGAAGAAGAACGCAATCGTTGTTTCACCATGGGTCATCCGCCACATGCTGTGGACCGTTCGGCGGGCCAACGCTGCTCGGCATAGTCGGCGGTGCTTTCGCAGGAGCCTGAGGGCGTCTGGACCTTTGGCACACTTGCGGGCAAGTGGTAAATATTGTGTTATAAGTTTACCCCTGGTTTGGACTGACACCGATATCTCATGGTGTTTTGGCGCGGACATTCAATGTGGTGATGGAGGTCGGGTGTTGCTAGCGGCCTTCCAGTTGACCCTGTTCTTGGTTATTGGCCCGAGACTGCGGCCTATCTGCAAGTGGGTCTGCAGGAACAGGAGGCGATCATTGAACAGGTGCACTACGATTACGGCGGCGCCGTGAAAAAAAGGAGGAGCAGGAGGACATCGTCGACCAGGTGCGCGCTAGGTGCGGTGCCAACGGAAGGAAGGGGGGAGCGGGAGGCCATCATCACCGACCAGGTGCCCCACGCGGACGGCAACGACGAGGGCGGCCACGACAGGACGGATGAGGAGGAGCAGGATGCCATCTTCTTCAACGCGGCGCTCTACGCGGACGGCGGCGTCGGTGCGATGAAGGAGCAGGGGGCCATCATCGACCAGGTGCTTTACGAGAGCGGCGGCGGCGGTGCAGAGGAGCAGCAGGAGGACACCATCATCGACCAGGTGCACTACGACAACTGCGACAATTGGACGAAGGAAGGGCAGGAGGCCATCATCTTCGACAAGGTGCGCTAAGTGGACGGCGGCGCCGGGACGAAGGAGGAGCAGGAGGCCATCATCGACCAGGTGCCCTACGATGACGGCCACGACATCGCGCAGGAGGACCTCGAGGGCCATGGAGGCGGCCTCGGCTGGGCGGCTGGGGAGGCGCCGGCGTCGGCCAGGGCATTTGGCGGTTCGGGCGGAGGCGATGGCGGCGGCTAGGGCTGGAACGGCGGCGGCAGGTAGACGTGCTGGTGTGCAGGCTCGTCACGTGGGGCCCCCTCCTACGGTTCCCGGGGAGGCTGATCGCGCGTCGGGCCTCTCCGGCGGTCGAGCGGAAGAGGCGGCTGCTGGCCGACGTGGTGGGTCTGCTCATCGGGGCTCCAGTGGAGCGCGACTTGCGGTGTGCCAGCTCCTTCGCGCTGGTGTTTCCCGGAAAGGGCATAGGCCCAGGGTTCTCTTTTAGTATGTAAACAATGTCCCCGTGCCCAACTTGAAGGAGGCCGGCGGATTCTTTCCCTGATAAATATCGAGGTCGAAGGAGGCCGGCGGATTAAAATTTGAGGATGTCTCAGGCGAAACGCTTGTTTTGAAATCCCGATCGATAAATCACAGGGTGCGGGACACCTCAGCACGACCACACCCCAGCACGACCACACCCCAGCACGACCACGCCCCAGCACGACCACACCCCAGCACGACCATACCCAGCACGACCACACCCCAGCACGACCACACCTCAACACGACCACACCCCACCACGATCACACCCCACCACGACCACACCCCAGCACGACCCGATCGATGAATCACAGGGTGCGGACCACCCCAGCACGACCACACCCCAGCACGACCCCACCCCAGCACGCCCCCCCAGCACGACCCACGCCCCAGCACGACACAACCCCACACGACGCACACCCAGCACGACCCCACCCCATGCACGCCCCCACCCCATCCAAGGCACGACCACACCCTAGCACGACCATACCCCATCACGACCACACCCCAGCACGACCAGACCCCAGCACGACCCCACCCCAGCACGACCCCACCCCAGCACGACCATACCCCAGCACGACCACACCCCAGCACGACCCGACCCCAGCACGACCCTACCCCAGCAAAACCACACCCCAGCACGACCACACCCCAGCACGACCTCACCACAGCACGACCACACCCCAGCACGACCACGCCCCAGCACGACCACGCCCCAGCACGACCACGCCCCAGCACGACCACGCCCCAGCACAACCACCCCCCAGCACGACCCCCCCCCCAGCACGACCACGCCCCAGCACGACCACCCCCCAGCACGACCACACCCCAGCACGACCACTCCCCAGCACGACCACACCGCCTTGGTTGAGTGGTTGCCTGTCGTCGTGGAATTTTTCGTGGGGTGTCTCGTGGAATGTTTCGCGGGGTGTCTCCTGGAATGTTTCGTGAGGTGTCTCGCGGAATGTTTCGTGAGGTGTCTCGTGGGATGTTTCGTGAGGTGTCTCGTGGGATGTTTCGTGAGGTGTTGCCCCGTTGGGTATCGTTAAAACGTGCCCATGCTCCACATGTCTATATCCCTTTCCGGGTTCGTGGGTCCATCATTTTCACTACTCCTCCTCCAGGAGGAGGAGGAGGAGGAGGAGGAGGAGGAGGAGGAGGAGGAAGAGGAGGAGGAGGAGGAGGAGGAGGACGAGGAGAAGGGGCTCCTTCGAGCTGGAGGAGGACGAGGTGAAGGGGCTCGAAGCTGTCGACGATTCTGAAGAGGGGTCCGAGCTCGACGGCACCGTCGAGCCGCCCTGGGGCCCCCCCGCGCCTCGAGGGGGGCCCTTCGCTCGGCGGGAGCCACGAAGAAGGTGCTGCCCAGAGAGAAGCTGGCCCCCGCAGGTAAAACTCCTCCTCCTCCTCCTCCTCCTCCTCCTCCACCTATTCCTCGTCGTCCATCCTCCCTCGCTTCCTTCTCCTTCTTCCTTCCTCCTCTCCTCCCCTCTCCTCTTCCCTTCCCCGCCCCCCCGATTTCCCCTGACCTCCCGACTCCCCCCCGCTCCCTCCATCGCCCCTCCCCTTGCAGGCGAGCGGCGAGAAGGGCCCTGCCGCCCCCATGTCCTCTGGGGCGTCGGCGGCCGCCCTTCCACAGGACTCGCAGCCCAAACTTGGGGACCCGCAGCCCAAACCAGGGGAGATAGGTGGCGCTTTTCGTGGTTAAGAACCCAGGGCCATGATCCCAACGCCGGGGGTCCCCTTTGGCGATGGGGGTGGGGACACACTCGGGTGCTCCCGGGCTTTTTTTCCCGGAAAGGGCCTGGGCCCAGGGTTCTCTTTTAGTAGGTTTACCCCTCGGTTTTTACTTGAAGGGGGCCGTCGAATTTCTTGTGCGATAAATTACGAGGTCGAAGGGGGCCGGCGAATTAAAATTGTGAGGACGAAGGCCATTTTTCGTCACTCCTCACGCAGATCGTGCTCTTGGAATTTTACTGCCTTTAAGGAAACCTCGATATTTCACAGGTGAAGTCTGCTTTTTTCCCGACATCGACTTTAAACGATAAAAAACTAGGTAAACGCGTTCGCTCGATAAATAACGAGGTACCGCGGCCTCCGGAACGGCGCTGGGAACGGAGTTTTGGATTCTTGAAGTTGCATAAGTTCGGAAATAGCAGAACTCCCCTGTGTTTTTGGACCCTGACCCCGCGGATCTACGTGAGGGGTGGCACCGAATTTCAGAAATGTGGCAAATCCCCTGTGCTTTTGGACCCTGACCCCGCCGATCTGCGTGAGGGGTGGCGCGGAATTCCAGAAATGTGGCAAATCCCATGTGTTTTTGGACCCTGACCCCGCCGACCTGCGTGAGGGGTGGCACGGAATTCCAGAAATGTGGCAAATCCCCTGTGTTTTCGGATCCTGACCCCGCCGACCTGCGTGATGGGGTGGCACCGAATTTCAGAAATGTGGCAAGTCCCATGTGTTTTCGGACCTTGACTTCGCCCAGGAGGGCCCAGGAGGCTCCAGGAGAGCCCAGGAGAGCCCAGGAGGGCCCAGGAGAGCCCAGGAGGGCCCAGGAGGACCCAGGAGGCTCCAAGAGTCACCAGGGGGCCCAAGGAGGGCCCAGGAGAAGCTCCAGGAGGCTCCAGGAGAGCCCAGGAGGGCCCAAGAGGTCCAAGGAAGACCCAGGAGGGCCCAGGAGCCCTTACGAGGGATCGTGACCCTGGGAGCGCTGACGTAGCGTAATTTACGAGGGATCGTGGCCCTGGGAGCGCGGGTGTAGTGTAATTTTTGAGGATGTCCCTAGCGAAACGCTAGTTTTTCAGAATTTGTTGAGGATGTCTCGAGCGAAACGCTGGTTTTGCAGAGTCGGGGATGTCTCGAGCGAAACGCTTGTTTTCAGAATTTGTTGAGGATGTCTCGAGCGAAACGCTGGTTTTGCAGAGCCGACAGCGACGCGGAAAAGCGTCCCGCGCGCAGGAATTCCGATGATGTTTCGCGCGTGCGGCGTCCCGCGCGCAGGAATTTCGAGGATGTCACGACTAATTCGTTTGTTTTGCTGGATTTCTTTGAATTTTGGCCGGATGTCTCGAGCGAAATGCTTGTCTTTCATAATTTGTTGAAGACGTTTCGAGCGAAACGCTGGTGTTGCAAAATGTTCATAATTTGTTGAGGATGTCTCGAGCGAAACACTGGTTTTGCAAACTTGGGGGATGTCTCGAGCGGGGGCCTCGTAGGGGGCCAGAATTCAGAGGATGTCTGAGGCAAAATACTTGTGTTCACGTCCCGCTCGCAGGAATTCCGAGGATGTCTCGCGCGTGCCGCGTCCCGCGCGCAGGAATTTCGAGGATGTCTTGACTACTTCGTTTGTTTTGCCAGGATTTCCTTGGATTTTGACTGGATGTCTCGAGCGAAACGCGTTTCCCCAGCACGTTCCATAGCGCGTCCCCTTGGCACGTCCCGCGGTGCGACCCCATGGCACGTCCTTTGGCACGTCGCTTGGCGCGTCCCTTGAGACGTTCCGCGGCGCGACCTCCTGGCATGTCCCCCTGTCAATGAGCTCTGGGGCAGCTACTATGTGTTCAGGCAGCTCGAGCTTAAGATCCAGATCAGTTCGGTCAGGACTCGGATGCAAAGGAGAACTCGATCCACGAGGCTATAGAGCAAAATCGCGCCATGGCACATCGCAATCCAGCACGGTGCAGCACAGCACAGCCTTCGGCAGGGTACATCAAGATCGATACAATCAGCATTGCAACCTGGCACGTTCCTTGGCACGTTCCGTGGCGCGTCCCGTGGCGAGCCCCCCTGGCACGTCGCGTAGCGCGTCCCCTGGCACATCCCGTGGCACATCCATTGGCCCGTTCCGTAGCGCGTCCTTTTGGCACGTCCCGCGGTGCGACCCCATGGCACGTCCCCTGGCACGTCGCCTGGCGCGTCCCTTGGGACGTTTCGCGGCGCGTCCTCCTGGCATGTCCCCCTGTCAATTAGCTCTGGGGCAGATACTATGTGTTCAGGCAGCTCGAGCTTAAGATCCAGATCAGTTCGGTCAGGACTCGGATGCACAGGATGACTCGATCCACGAGGCTATAGAGCAAAATCGCGCCATGGCACATCGCAATTCAGCACGGTGCAGCACAGCACAGCCCTCGGCAAGGTACATCAAGATCGATACCTTCAGAATTGCATTTGCCCGTCACCCAACCAGATGTCTTTGAAAACGCTGCCATGTGTTACAGTTCTATATTCCTTTCCGGGTTCGTGGGTCGATATGTTACATGTCCAGGCCGCCCAAGAGGGGTATCTAACATGGTCGTCCCGAGCTGGCACCGACGTTTTTCCCGGAAAGGGCTTAAGCCCAGGGTTCTCTTTTAGATGGTTTACCCCCGGGTTAGACTTGAGGTGGGCCGGCGAATTTCTTTTGCGATAAAGATCGAGGTCGAGGTGGGCCGGCGAATTAACATTTGAGGATGTCTCGAGCGAAACGCTAGAGTTTCATAATTTGTTGAGGATGTCTCGAGCCGAACGCTTGTTTTGTGTTATAGATTGTCCTTTCCTGGGGACCTGAATTCAGAGGATCCCTCAAGTGAAATGCTTGTTTTCACGTGCCCAGGTCTTGAGGATGTCTCGAGCGAGACGCTTGGTTTCACGCCTCC